AAAGACAATGACAACTTGAAAACCATTATTTTTATACAGGCACTGCCCCTTCATTTTTGAGCATAATTTCCACCAACATTGATGCACTTGTCCCATTATTTTATCAGTCCTCCGAAATCTGCTGCGTAGAACTGCTTGCTTTGTTTTCTAAACCACATTTTCACTTCGCATTTAACTTCTGCGTCATTCGCGAAATGTCTCCAGCCAAGATGGGTTTTCACTGGACCATTATGGTGTATGCTAAACCATATGAGCACCCTATTGCAGCTGCTACAGAGGCAACTGTTACTCGCCTGTCACCTTTATTAATCTCCTCCACCCCCTGTATGGATACGTCTGTTGCAATTTCAACAGGACAACTGGATCAACAATTTTAGAACATCCTTGAGAACATTATTTTACCCAGCTGTGCACCACTTCCTGGCATAAACACTTTTCAGCATAAACAGAAAGCATTGCCTTATGAATGTACTTTGCAAGCAGCACTTTTGCCCCCTCCCCCCTCCAGGCACAACAGCACATTGTTTCTTGAGGGTCCACTCTGTAAGTACAGTCACCATTTTGTTTCTTTGTTGCAAATGTGCATGCAACACCTAATGAACAGAGACAAAGTACGATATTGCTTTCACCTAATGACACCTTGAGAAACCACCAACTACATTTTCCTGCCATCCAATGACCATTTGTGACTTACTTATTGACTTTCCCTCGTATATCTTTGGGCGCACATGCACACACAGTTGCCTTCTCTGTTTCTCCTTGTCTCTCTCGTCACCTCTCTCTGTGTCTTTCTTTCTCTCTTATAGGTAATTTAGTTGATTAATATCCCCCCCCCACCCCCACAAAATTGTCTCATCATGTATGAGGTTTTAACAGTGTTTGGTTCAGTATATCAGTCAGTCAGTTTGTTCCCTCTGGGCTGTTACCTAAAGGTTTGCCATACTGTCCTGAAATTAACAAATCTTAGTCTGGACGGCAGACCAACAAAGCATATCCCCAATACCCTGAACAGCCTCCAGAAAAGTTTTAATTAGGGCACTGTGACGGCTACAAAAGCCAGGTGTAGCCCAGTCCTTTGCGGATAAGGATGTAAGTGGTTGAAGATACATTAAAAGATATGTTTTAATATTCCATCGATATCTGTTGTGGTCGATCTCTCTCTGTAATATCTTGGCAACGTTTTTATATTTTACATCTATCGTGGGATTACCACTCATGTAGATGAAGCATTAACTACCTGGCATATGTACATGGATGGACTGTTTTGATTATTCTTATATTTTTTCATAGTATCAGCACATTTAATTTGTGGTTTTGTTTAGAAGAAAAAATATGTGTCCCCTAGTGTGGATTCTAGGGCCAAATATGTAGAGGAAAGATAGGCCCACTGCTGCTAAATATGCATATCATCTTAGAGCTCTGATTCTGGAACAGGACTAGAGTCCAGAAGTGGATGAACAACCATTACTTTCTGCCTTTTTTGAGGGCAAATGCAGAAGAAATTTATCTTTACTACCATGAACCTTGTAGTTCAATTTATGTTTAAAAAAAAATTTTTTTTAATGCTTTTCGCAACTCTCACCAAGTTATCTTTGGCCTTACTTCCAATGTCAATACACAGGGCAATTAAGGTCGTTCGCCAGTCAATTCTAAGGTCATGGCCAACCTTGTTTCAAAATCTGCCAGATTTATATCTGAAATCTGTTTGTAATTTGTCCTGGTGATAAAGTACTTGTGATTCAGGTTTGTCTGGATAAATTTAATAAGGTCACAGCTATCTGGAATAAACAGGTCAAGTGCTCTGTTATGTTAACTCTTTCAGTACTAGCCCACTGTTGAATATTTATTAATAATTGTGTAAGTACAGAAATTTACTAGACAGGTCTGTCTAATTTGTATGCAGACTGTTGGTTCCTTGCCAGATGCACTCCGACTTCAAAGGAGGCTCCCAATTAGTCGACTCTTACGACATGCTTCTGGTAGGCAGTGGGTCTATTCTTGTTTTCCCCATAATATGGCCCCGGGTCCCACACCGGGCATATATATATATTTGTTTCTTTTTTTGAAAACTTACTAAGATTTCCACCAATAAAAAGACGTCACTTGCAGTGAGGAAAAGAGTGTTAAAGTGTTTTGTAGAACCTGTGTTGTTATATGCTTGTGAAAACATGGACAATAAGTAGACAGGCTGCTGAAATTTTGTTTGTCCGCAGTAGAGTTATGGGTTCTGAGAAGAATGCTAACTGTTCCCTAGAACACTGATTATACATGTGTCATTCTCTTCCTCTCATACAGATCCACTCCAGAATCCACATTTACACAGGTTTTTTGCATCAAATGTGTCTTCTGTTAGCATTCATTTAATGTCCAAATAAAGCTTTGCAGGATACATTTTTTATAGCAAGATTGATTAACCAATCTATCAGCACATGCATTATTGTTTCTCAGTGCATTATGTTTTGTCATAAAATGGAGAAAAGGGGAACTTTTGTTATCCTTCCTTGGGGTCTGTCAAAATGGCAGAATTGGTTAACACAGTCAGTGATATATCATCATCAGGTGCCTTGCCGACTGGCGTGGGCGATCATGCCTCTCCATAATCTGCGATCTCCTGCAGCATGTATCAATTCAATTGCCGACACACCTCCATGCCATGCAACAAGACTGTCAAGCATCTTCTCTCGTTGTCTTCCTCTATCTCTTCTTCCACATATCTTTCCAGTGGTCACAACATGTTCTATTTTCCCCTCTTCTCATAACATGGCCGATATATAGCTTGTCAAAAGTGAAGATCCTACAGAACTAGAACCACATAATAATAGATATCCTCACTGAGTGATATTATAAGCAGCACGATGGTTGCCTTTACTTCCTGAGACATTGCCTGCTACCACTTTTATGCTGCGTCAACCAGTCAAATTATTACCCCCCCCCCCCCCCCCCCAAAAAAAAAAAAAACCTATGTGGAATTGAACTTAAGACCTTCTGGTCTCTAGGCAACTGTTTATTGATATATTTATTGATATATGAGTCAACGTCATAGTACACCTGGCATACCGAACCATGCTCTGTCTCCTGCAGCAGATATCAAGGATTAGAAGCTAACTATTCCCATATCACACTGATTAATTTGTGGGTGGGCAAACAGCTGTCCACTGCACTACCATGATTTCTGATTTATTGATTGTTAAAGAATGAAACACTGTAGCCCGTACCACCTTAGAGTGATGGTCATGTAAATAGGTTTGAAATCTGTGTTCCTGAGCCCTATTTTGGGGGACAGAATAATAGACTACTTCACCCTAGCCCCCAAGCATCTTTGGCAACTAATTCTAGTTTTGTTGAAATTAAACATGTTTGGTCAAAAAGGTGCATGTGTCGCAGACTTAATGTAACTGCAACACGTCAGCTGCCCTGTTAAGGGTGAACACAGAAGGAGAAGAACAAAAAACATATGTTTGAGAAGGGATTATAGAGGGAAACAAGACTTGGTCCCAATTACATGCTGTCTAAATGAGATGGTTTGGCCAAAAGCTGTGCTTTAACATAAATTTTCTGTCAACAGACACAGCCAATGTTTTCTTTTTTAAGCACAAACAGGGAAGAATAATATACCACGACCGCATCCATGTTTCTCATTATCACATTATTTACTTGACCCAGCCTTAAATGGGTACCAGGTACTTCCAGGAAAGTAAAGGCGGCATAATGCTGACCAGGTCACTCACTGACTGTTGATTGGTCTATAAAATATAGGTCTAGGTCTTTATACCAAGTCCGCCTGAAGGCATGGGAAAGTCTCCTTTACGGTTTTTTTGTGTTTTTTTTTGTTTTTGTTTTTTAAAAGTGTTTTTTTTTACATTGTATAAGGTTATTTGCATATCCTTTACAGGACGTTGCAGAACAAACCCCAGCAGCCCCTGGCTGTTGTGTGGTTTCTCTAGGCAAATTTACGTCCAGTAATTTGATTTTGCTTTCTGGACGGTCGGCCCCCTGATACCACTGTCGAAACCAAGGCAAGGCGCATGGCCCGCAGCTGGGATCGAACCCGGCATTACAAAGCGTTTGCATCGACTTTGCCACAGAGCCGACTTACATTGTATACAGAACAGAACAGGCCAAAACTCCTATTATAAAATGAAAAACATTTTGTGCAGTAAATCCATGTCATTGGAGGTTAGGAAAAGAATTCTCGCAAGATACTTAGAGCCGCTTTTAACATACGGCTGTGAATCTTGGACAATTAATAAACAAGCTGAACAGTATCTTGAGGCCTTGGAGATAGGGTTTTGCAGGAGATTCCTTACAATTCCTTGGACAGCTAAGAAGAGTAAACTAGTTTTGAAAGAGGGAGGTGCTTATCACAGACATCAGAAAGAGACAGTCATCTTTTGTTGGTCATGTTATGAGAAGAGATACAATGGAACAGGTTGTAACCACTGGAAAGAATTGTGGAAAAAGAGACAGAGGAAGACATCCGAGAAGATTCTTTACAGGTTTTTGTGCATGGAGGGGTGTCAGCACACGAACTGATACTCACAGATTTTAGAGAGGCATGATAGCCCATGTCAGTCTGCAAAGCACTTGATGATGATAATACTGAACATATGATTGAATACTTCATCATTTGTTTTTTCCTGTAGGGGCCCCAGGGCACTAGTGTTGGAGGATGATAAGAATAGAATCCCTGCTTCTTAAAGTCATGAAAGGCGATTGATTAAGGATTTGCTAAATATCGGATTAGTTGAGTGGAAAGGTGCAGATATCACGGCATAATTTATATCACAGCGAGAACACAACATACCAACTGCCTTTTTTTTAGGGCGAACACAGAACTAAAAGAATTATTTGTTTCATGTTGATAATCTGATATGTTTTCTACAAAAACATGTTATCTCTATATTGTATCTTTCATCATTGTGCAAGAAAATATTAAAATATATTTCAGATACTTTGTTCTCTATTAAATATTTCATTTTGAATTAATTTTTTAATTGCAGGGTGACTCATTGAAATACTTTTTGGATAACATAGGCAGGATCGGAACAGTTGTAAGTATCTTGAGATATGTTTGCACAGTCTTGCAAGTTCTCAGTGGTGGACCATACTGTTTTTGGCTCTTCTCCACCTTTCCCCAATATAATGTTAGGGAGCCACCGTGGTGTAGCGGCTAGACAGTTGCCGGTGGATTAGAAGGTCAAGGGTTTGGGTCGCGACAGTTGGAATATTTAAATAAATGCCCTTAACTACCAGGTTGACCCAGCCTTGAGTGGGTATAGTCCTAGGAAGTAAAGGCGGCCGGAGTGATATTGACCACGTCACTCACCAAATGATGATTGATCTACCAAATAAAGTTCTAGCAGCCCTAAATGCCCAGTACGCTTAAAGGCGCAGAATTGGGACGTTTATACTGTAGTGTTCCACTGTGCTATATGAAAGCATGGCAATCACAGCCCAAGGTGATACCAGTAAAGGCAAGCGGTAATGTTACATAGCACAAAGCCTGGGCAGGGCTGTAGAGGCCATCGTCCATGCAGTATGATCCCTCTCTCTGCCTGATTTGTTAACTTCAGAGGCAAGGTAACACCAGTATTTTTGGAACAAAGCGTGCTGCCAAAGCCACTGGATCAGAAGAGCAGTGCTGTAGAGGCTATTGCCCGTGCAGTTTGATCCCTCCCTCGGCCTGATTTGTTAACTCCAAAGGAAAGGTAACGCCAATACGTTTGTAACAAAGCATGCTGCCAAAGTCACTGGATCAGAAGAGCAGTGCTGTAGACACCATTGCCCATGCAACTTGATCCCTCGCCTAATTTGTTAACTATAAAAAAAAAAAAAAGATAATGCTAGTACGTTTGAAATTTAGCATGCTGCCAAAGCCACTGGGTCAGCAGAGCAATGCTGTTTCTTCCTCTTGAAGCTTGCCATCTTGAAGAAATTTTAAAGATTGAAGTCTAGAGGATCGACTTAATTGCACCAGTTTGGTATTCCATAAGGCTCAGTCTCTCTCCACAGAACGGCTAGCTGCCTGCTGAGAGTGCCACACAAAACATGAACTCCATATCTCCGGTGACGATCCTCAGGGATCTCTGTACCAATTGCACTTGTGAACTGAACAACGCAGGTGTGAAACAAACCTGTAACTTTCAGAACGTGAGGCAGATGGCTTTACCACTTCACCACATCTTCGCTGTCATAAAGTTGTGGAGACAGCAGTCAGCAGTACACTTGTAATGAAAATGAAAAGGACTATTCTCGACCTGTCAACAGTTAATGAACATAAAGTATCGCCGGAGAGTTTGACAAATGAAAGACACACAGATGCAAAAGAACTTGTTTCTATGAAAGTTTCTATCAACGTAAATATGGAAATGAAGAATATTTAGTTGAAAACAAGTGTTGTATTTCAAAGTGTTTATCCAGACATCTTGCAGAATATGTTGTCTTAAGCATGTATGAATAAGGTTACGTTTGTTTCAGTTCGCTATTATCAATTTCCATTTTGTTGGTGGACAAAGACTCCAGAAACCAAGCCTTGAATCTGTGTATTTCTTTGATTTTTCGAACACCCATGACATATTTCATCACCTGTTTGTCATTTTATGTGCTAAAGCTTTTTTGTCCTGTTAAAAGACATGCATAATTGTGTTGACTAAAACATTGACATAATGCTTTCCTAGACAGTACTCTATTTAAAAAAAAACTGTCTTCAATGAAAGGAATCGGTGCAAAACAGTTTTCATCAGAGTATCCGCTGCTTTGCAAATTTAAATGCATTGTTACAAAGGGAGTCACACACAAGGCTTTCAGTTACCATTAATAAACATGAACATTTCAGACTTCTGTAGAGCCATTAGTATTCACTGTTCTTTTGCATAGTATTCACGTGTCTACGGGTCGGATAAGGTTTCGTTAGGAAAATAGTTGTCCAACCTTCTGGGGTCATTTACATGCTTTGGGAGACAATTTCTTCATTATACCATGATGGCAATCATGATAATGGGAAAATTTAATGGTTAATATGCAAATGGAAAAAAATATGTCAAGATTAGGTCAGATGAAAAGGGTCCCCATGTGGATTCGGGGGCCCCATTGTGGGGGAAACAAGAATAGACCCACTGCCTCCTAAACAAGCATTTTGTAAGAGTCGACTAATTGGGGAGGGGGGGGGGCTTCCTTTGAAGTCGGAGTGCATCTGCCTGAACGGCAAGAAACCAGCAATCTGCAGACAGTTAAGTCGATCTGTTATACGGATGCGCACACAACACTCAGGTTCTGAAGAAAGACTAAAATCCAGATGTTGACAAACAACCATAACTTTCCGCCAGGCAGGCAGTTATTTGCATGAACTAGGAAAGAAAGCAACAGCAGTATTTTGGCTCTATTAAACATTATTGTGGCCTGGAGAGGATACCGTTTTAGGAAAACGAGGCGGAGCCATTGGCTGTAAAAGCACACAGGGCTGGACAATTGGCTGCAGAAAAAGAGACTTTCAGGCATGCCATGACAAGAGAGGCATTCTGTAAAGGACCTGGTGAATGATAGTGATGATGCACTTATCAAAGCTTTTATCTAGTTAACTTAACCTTGAGAGGCAAAACAGGGGTTTTGCATCATGATCTTTTGATATCTCAAATTAAATTAAATCTTACATAAATTTGTAGCTAGTAAAAAAAGAAGTAATCCATTATCCTCATTTGATTTCTTCAAATGAGTTTCACAGATAAGAATGAGAAAACAATAAGTAATTAATGAACCTTATTTGATCTCTCAATGGAAGTCACACAGACAGTTCACTACTAGTTAATGGAAATAAGTAATTCACGATCTTTGTCTTATCTCTGACAATATCACAATTTACATCTTCTTCCACCCTTTATCCTCTAGTGGAGATAAGGCCACTTGCTATAGTTTTTATTCTTGTTAAATTTTCTTCTTCTCTCCTTTATCTCATAGTGGAGCATAGGACTTCAACCAGCAAGTCGTCATCTCCTTTGCTTTCCTATGTATTCCACATCTTTTTAACCTCTATCTCTCGTTCCCTTCTCTGTGTTTTTGTTGTTGTTGATATGCTACGATTTTTATGTCCCTGTTGGTTCCTGTGTAAAGACATTCTATCTATATTGCTCTGAGTTTTCTCAACGTGTGCCTTATCATACGCCCATGACATTTCTTTATTTCTTGGCTCACTGGAATTTGTTTAATTTGCTCCCAAAGCTCCACACTATTGATTCCAATTTACCATACCATTTAATCCCCTCAGTTCCCCTTGTGGGTTCCGGGGCCCCATTGTGGGGGAAAACAAGAATAGTCCCACTGCCTACTCAAAAGCATGTCGTAAGAGTCAACTGATTGGAAGCTTCCTTCAAAGTTGGGTTTGTGTCTGCCTGAGAGGCGAGGAATCATCAGTATGCATAACCATGAGTCAGATCTGTAAAATGGATGTGCATGCAACACTCGGGTTCTGGAATAGGACTAAAGTCTAGAAGTGGACAAACACCCAGAACTTTCCGTCGGAGTTCACAGTTGGTGAACAAGAAGAAGAGTTCCCTCAGTTCTGTGTAGACACCAGTTGACTTAAGTTTATAAGAATTAGTTTTAGTTGTTGTCCATGTTTAGCTCCACACAGCAGTACTGATTTGACATTAGCGCTGAATATTTGAAGTTTATTACTAGTTTTAATTTATCTGACTTCCATACATTTCATAGTTCTATGGAAGCTTCTTTTGCATTCCTACTTGTATATCTGTTTCTCCATCTTTGTCTGCTGTTTTAATAGCACCACATCTTGAAGTAAGGTGTGGAAGTGATGTTTTGGGAGTGAGTTTATTTTCTTTTGACTGCCACAGAATTGTTAAGTCTATGAGTGCTGCTATTGACTTTTTAATTCTCATTTTTATATCTATATCTTCCTGCGATTCTACTGCAAATAAAATATATATTGGTGTAAAGTTCAGTTTTGCTATACATATTTTTTTTTAAGTTTAAACATGCAGATGTTTTAAAAATACACGAGCTTTCTACTGCATTTTGAAGTTTTTGCTTATTGTTACATTTTCAGAACTATACACCATCAAAGCAAGACATCCTGTTGGCAAGGAAAGCTACGAAGGGAATTATTGAGCATCAGATTATGATTAAAGGTGTCCCTTTCATGTTTATTGATGTGGGAGGTCAAAGGTCACAACGTCAGAAGTGGTTTCAGTGTTTTGAGGGCATTACTTCTATCTTGTTTCTCACATCTGCTAGTGAATTTGACCAGGTATTTTTAATTTTGTACTTTAAATAGTTGTTGCATCACTTCTGCTTTTTTTTTTTTTTTAATTTAGCTTGATTGTTCTTGTTCAACCCAGTGGTTGTGGGTTCATAGAGAAAATACAGGACTGGATTCCATCCATGATTGTTAAACATATGCACAGGATAGAATGGAATGGAAGAATATCTCAGTGTGGGTTCTGGGGACCCATTGTGGGGAAAACAGGAATAGGCCCACTGCTCTCCTAACAAGAAGGTCGTAGGAGTGGACTAATTGGGGGCATCCTTCATTGTCGTAGTGCAGCTGCTTGAGAGATGAGCGGTTCTTCATACAATTTTCGCCCCAAACAAACTGTGGTTGACCCTTCACTCATGCTTCTCAACCTTTTACACGCGCTGGTCTATGTTACAGAGATGTCACACAGCATTGTCTTTGATGCACTCACCGGCGATGTCGTGTGTTCTAAATTACACGATGTGACTGCTTTTACGGAACACCTAGAACTGGCCCTAATCCCAGACTCCCTACCACGCAGCCTCAGCCTACGTCCCATGAGAGAGCGCAGCCTACATCCTGTGGTTTCAGAATTGTTAACATTTTCCAATGCGCCCTAAAAAGCCGTCTTGCTGAAGAAAACCAACCCTGCTCTCTTTGTCGCTCGTCACCCCTGACAGCTGAAGTAATTTCATTCCCTACTTGAAGTCTGAGAAAAGCTGTAATATACACAGTGTTGTCGGCTGCTCACAATGAGTAAAACATAACCTGGAGCTTGCCACTCACACGGCTCGCAATATAGAAAGCTTTTTATGAAGACAACACAACCCGACACCCCTGTAACATAGACTAGCGCATGTGAAAGGTCACTAATCATGAATGGAAGTCCAACCATGGTTTGTTTGGGGCGGAAAATGTAACAAGTTCTGATGAAGAACCAGTAGTCTGCATACAAATAAAACAGATGTGTGCATGCAACACTCAGTTTCTAGAACAAGACTAAAGTCCAGAAGTTTATGAATAACCAGAACTTTTTGCTGGAGTTCATTGCCGGTTGAAAACGAAGAAGAATAAAAAGAAACCCTAGAATGAACATTGATGACAGAGGCCAAAATGCAGTACTGGATTCTATCATTTGTTCAGGATAGAATGGAATGGAAAAATAAAATGCATGCCCTTGTTATGTATGATGGCAGAACAGGATGATGATAAATCGTGGCTTGAGCCCTTTGACCAGCTCATGTCATTTATAATGCCCCCCCCCCCCCCCCCCCACCGATGTGGTATCCAGGGCCCCATTGTGGGGATAATAAGAATAGACCCACTGCCTCCACAAAAAGAGTGTTGTATGAAAAGTGAAAAGACTGATTTGGGGCTTTCTTCAGAGTTGGAGTACATCTGCCTGAGAAGCAAGGAACAAACAGAAATAAGCCAGATCTGTAAAAGGAACGTGCACGGATGTGCATCTGGAAGAAGACGTATGTCCAGGGGTGAATGAACAGCCAGAACTTTTTGTAAAGAGTTCGCAAGAGGTGAACGCGAAGAAGAAGCTTTATAATGTCCATCTTGTCTTTGTAACAGTGCCATAAGTATAATGTCCATCTTGTCTTTGTAACAGTGCCATAAGTATAATATCCATCTTGTCTTTGTAACAGTGCCATAAGTATAATATCCATCTTGTCTTTGTAACAGTGCCATAAGTATAATGTTCATCTTGTCTTTGTAACAGTGCCATAAGTATAATGTCCATCTTATCTTTGTAACAGTGCCATAAGTATAATGTCCATGATGTCTTTGTAACAGTGCCATAAGTATAATGTCTATGTTGTCTTTGTAACACTGCCAGTATAATGTCTATGTTGTCTTTGTAACACTACCATAAGTATAATGTCCATCTAGTCTTTGTAACAGTGCCATAAATATAATGTCTATGTTGTCTTTGTAACATTGTCATAAGTATAATGTGAGCGCCTTGGTCTGATCATGCATCATTAAATTTCCACAAATAGGTCCTTATGGAAGATAGAAAGACAAACCGCCTGGCAGAATCTTGCAATATTTTTGAGACAATTGTGAATAACCGTAGCTTCATGTCTGTATCCATCATCCTCTTCCTCAACAAGATGGACCTCCTGTCAGAAAAAGTAGCCAAAGTCAAGATTTCCGACTACTTCCCAGAGTTTCAAGGTGACCCCCACAATTTAGATGAAGTCAAGCGATTCCTGTGCAACATGTTTGATTCCAGACGCCGTGAACGCAGCAAACCACTTTTTCACCACTTCACAACGGCCATTGATACAGAGAATATCAAGCACGTGTTTCAGGATGTAAAAGATACAATACTTCACGATAACCTGAAATTACTAATGTTGCAATAATGTTTTGTTTTCATAACTAGGTAACTATATTTGAAGGACTTGAGGGTCACTTTGTGAATATGTTTTGTTTGCAGTGTACTTTTTTTTTGGTTTGTTAATGTTTTTGGTGGTATATAGAACAGATGAGACTACTGTTTAAATGTTGGGATTTATGTTTTAAAATGCTGTATATCTTTTGCGCTGCCTACTTCGTCTTCCTCCTCCTTCTCCTCATGTGGTTTATGTTTATGATTGTGTGCATTTAGATATGTTAATGTAAACTGTGGTGAGAGTGAGATTTAAAGTGTGCATGCTACGAACCATTGTTCTTCTCTGGAAGCATATGCAACCAAGTTTGGAATTTTTTCATGGTAATATTTTGGTTCCACTTTGTTCTTGTGTTCCTCTGGTGATTAGCTATAAAATATGCTGAGGTAATTTTTTGTACATATATTCAGTGCCTGATATTCTACTACAGACATTTTTGTTGGCTGCTTTTGTGTTTTTTACTCACATTATCTCAAGTCATGAATGGCTGCTTGTTGATGTGGTAGCTATTATTTCACACAGCTGATAAATGTCTTTGTGTAAAGGCAACATGTTCTGCTGGTTAACCAAGTACATTTATACTGGATTTTATATACACAGTACTTTATATCTAGTTTTATATATTTATTTTTCTGTTAGAAATTGTTCTTTGGGTGTGGGCAAAAGTTTTATGAAAGAAATGGTCACAAATCAGTTAAACAACATTTAGAATAGCATTATGTGTTTATTCATTGCATACTTTTGTAAGACATAGTGTTTTTATGATGATTTTATATGTGAATATGTATGTACATACAACATAGAGGGGAACTGGCTCATAGACAGTATTGTTTCTTGGAAACTACTTTGAAACACTTCAGCCATAATAAATGCCATAATGTCACAGGTCTGACTTATTTGCTTTCAGACTGTTGGTTCCTTGTCTCTCAGGCAGATGTACTCCGCCTTCGAAGGAAGCTCCCAATTAGTCTACTCTTTTAGGCAGGAAATGGGTCTATTCTTGTTTTCCCCACAAACTGGCCCCTGGACCCACACAGGAAGTAGCCTAGCTGTAAACCATAATAAAATGTGCCAACCACGCTTTTAAGGACAATCTAAATTCTTGTATCACTTATGGTGAAAAGTATCAATTAATAGCTTTTTTAAATTGAGAGCACTTGTAACTATGATACATCATAAGATATTAAGAAAGCACAAAATATCCCCCCCCCCCCCCCCCCTAAATCTCTCCATTTGCTGCTGTTGATTTTTGTGTGACTTTTTACATATAATTTTTACACCACAGACTTATGTACATAAATTCTGAACCTTGTTATTATTTCACATTTCTTGTGAAACAGCATTTTCTGTATACTGGGTAATAATTTTCACTGATATAAAAAAAAAAAATGACTTAATTTTTTATTCCATCGCTTTAATTTTGTTCATGCTGTAATAATTTTGTCCTGATATGCCCTATTTCCAGAGAAGAGGGCAGGTTAATGTAAAAGTGTAGGGTGCTCTTATGTAGCTGTTTTATAAGGTTGCATAGGGGGGAGGGAGGGGGGGGGGGGGGAATCATCTGAATTTTTCCCATTTTTGATTGCCATCTAAAAGGTGGCTCGTTAAGTCACTTGGTGTCAATCCTTTGGGTTGCAAACCTAGAGGGAAAAACAGATGAAAAATAATAACATTACTTTTTTTTCTAAGCTCACAAGTTAATTATAAAATATAAGAATGGTCAAGTATCGGTTGACCCGACCTAAATAAGTACCAGCCAGTGTTCTGGGAAGTTTAGGTGGCCAGGGTGATGTTGACATCATCACTAACTGAGTGCCACTTTGTCTAGCATCATATGCTAAAAATTATCCATCACTTTACAGGTATAAAAAAAAAGTAATTAAAGAGTTTAAAACAAAAAAAGTTAAGACCCATTGGCGTTTCAAAAATTTAGGGCTAGACCCACATTTTTAGAGACCAATCGGCACTCGTGCAGGTGATTTGGTCAGCATACAGTCAGCCACCTTTATTCCCCTGGACACTTTCTGGTGTCGGCCAAATGGCTAAGACGATGTGAATGCTTTGTAATGACGGGGTGCCGGGTTTGATCCCAGCTGCGGGCCACGCACCTTGCATTGGTTTCGACAGAGGTATCAGGGGGTTGACAGTCCAGAAAGCAATGGCAAACTACTGGACGTTAATTTGCCTTTAGAAACCACACAACAGCCAGGGGCTGGTGGGGTTGGTTCTGCAACGTCCTGTAAAGGATACACAACTAACCTTACACTTTCTGGTAAAATTTCAGGATGGATCAACCTGGCATCCAAGGTTATTTGATAAAAAATCTGACCCAGTACAGATTTCAACCGAAGTCCCTTGAGCCAGCAGGCAAGCGCCTGCCCACTGCACTGACAAGGCTCCTTTTTACAGACTCCATGTAAATTACAGTTAAGATGAAACTCTTTATCTGTGCCATCTAGTGTGGACTACATGAATCATCTTGCATGTATCTACACAATAGACAGTCAGTTATTGCTACTGGTGGCTTTTTATAACAAATGGCTGTCAGTATTGACCACATGAGCATTGATTGAAAGATGTTTTTAAAAGAAAACAGATATGGTTGACCTGCTAAAATTCATTGATGCAGCAAGGGGGTGCGACAGAATAGCAAACATATAAACAGATGTGTTTTTAAAAACGTTAAAAAAAGGGCTTGCATGTGTTTGTGCAGGGGTGACAGAGATGTGTCCGCACTGTGTACCACCTGACCTTGCATTGCTACTGTGTACATTTAAACTGTTTCATATAATACTTGAAGTTTTCAAGTATAAGAGTGAGAACCTGCAATACAGTCATCTGAGCCAGTTATAGAAATCCATATTTATGTACTTCAACACCTCATATTTGAATTATAACTATTCATTTACATTAACACCTATGTGAGGATTATAATGTTTATATATTGAAAGTTTGTGTTTAGAGCCATATGTTCTTGTGTTTTATTTTTTAAAGCAAATTTTTAGATGTTTTTCTGTATAATTCAACTAGTTTCAGAATTGGGTATTTCTGTGTATTAGTCAGCACATGTAGCTTGTGGATTATGAGCATGTTTCATAATTGTAACTTACTAGGTTTGGTTCGGCTGTGGGCAATTTGGCTTTGCATTGATTTGAACAATGATAGGGGTTTCAAACTGTTCAGAAAGCAGAAGACTTACTGAACATAAGTTGCCTAAAAAACAGCAAAAAGCCAACAAAAGCTGATGTTGGTTTGCAAAATCCTCTAAAGAATATATGCAGCTAACTTCATGTATTATAAAGACTCTTATTAATCCAGGTTTAAAAAAAAATCCAATTTTTTTCTTTGGGTTCTTCATTGGGTTCTTGTCTATATACTTAAATTTACATTTCCTTGTCTTGATATTGTCTCTTTTTTTATGAAGAAAAAAAAAAGTGAAAAACTTATTGTTTTTTTCATCCTATGCATCTGTTATTTGTCTTCCTTCAGCTGTTTGTTAGTTTGATTGTTTCATGCTTAAAAAAATATTGTAACTTCCACAACTGCTGTTAATCCAGGTTTTTAAAAATCCCATTATTTCATTGGGTTCTTCATTGGGTTCTTGTCTGTATATACTTAAATTTACATTTCCTTGTCTTGATATTGTCTCTCTGTTTTTATAGAAAAAAACTGAAAAGCTTTTTGTTATTTTCATCACATGCATGTTTTTTGTCTTTCGTCAGCCGTTTGTTAGTTTGATTGTTTCATGCTTAAAAAAATATTTTAACTTCCGCAACTGCTGTTTAAAAATATCAGGTTTATTAGAATTCACTTATATAGGAATTTGTATTTCAGATTTTCAAAATTATTACAAAATGATGTTTAAAACTGTCAAGTTTATAATAACTATTTTATTGTAAATTTATGACAGAAATGACTGTTGAGAAATGTCTATAAGCACTGAAGGACACACAGGGAATATGGAATTAGGGGACACTAGAACAATCAACTATGGTTCAACAATAGAACGGTCTGATTTTCATTGACCGAAAGAAAAAGAACAGCAGTGTATGTTCAAAATGAAAACACAAAGCCGCAGAGGGGGACCAAGAAGAAAATTGATCAGTGGAGGCACTGAAAGCCCTGGCTCGGTGGCTGAGTTGTCGATCATTAGTTGCAATGCAGGCAGAAGATATTGACAAAAGAAGAAGAAATGGTTATGAGCTTGAATGGGTATATAATTATAACAGCAGCATTGACAGTAGAAATTATGTCATCTTCCCTTAAGAAATTATAATTTGATGAAATATGGCAAATGATCTTACAACTAACGGCTTGGAATAAAAGAGAAAGTTTAAAAATTAATGTGTATACCTATAAAGTTAGTTGCGTATCCTTTACACGATGCTGCAGAATTAACCACAGCATTTTTTTGGCTGTCGTTTTTCTATGCAGATTTTACGTTCAGTAGTTTGCCATTGTTTCTGATCAGTCAGTTCTTAGTACCACTGTCAAAACCAGCGTATGGCGTGCTGCTGCTGAATTGCCCATAGCTGGGCTCGAACCTGGCATTACGAAGCATGTTCACAATGCCTAAGCCACAAATGCCGACATGTACCTAAAGCAGTATCATTAACAGTAGAAATCATTTAGTATGGATAACCATTCCTCTCCATGGTTTATGTCTTGAAGGGAGATCACCTGTTGAAGTAATGTCTGCACGACCCAACCAATACTGGCCTCATTTAAGTCTGTTGCCTTTACGTGAATTCAGTTCATCATGCAGTGCGTGTGTAAAGACCTCAGTGATTTTGAGGTAGGCACACGCCTGATGCATTTCTAGCTGTTTATATCTGGGAGATCTAGTAGGTATCTCCATGCTCTACTTGAAGTGTCTTTGGTGCAGCTAAGTATGACGTGCATTTCTTCATTTTGTACCTGTTCCAGTCTATCGATTTGTGTCTTGCTGAGGGTGAGGATTGCAAGTGCATATT